CATTAATTGTTTCCACATTGTGAAAACAGTTATTCTGGTGTTTGCAAATACAAGTTGCAGAACACCCAGGTCAATCAGAAATGGCTATAGAATTTTTTCTGGATCATTTTGAAAGGTAAATGAATAACTTATATTATGCTGGTAAGTACCTAACACTCACCATCTTCTTAAAATAAAGCTTGTTGTCATCTGTGCACTTCCTATGAGATATTAAAGTAGGTATACTTTGGTTTCATAATTATATTTATACAGGTGTTTTCTACCACACGATTTCAGGTAGGCGAACACAATTGTTCAACGGAAAACTGTTCAAAAGGAATTACTATCTTAACTACTTAGTTGGATGGACACATTCTGCCCCCTTAATTCCGCTGCAGTACCATGTGGGGTTTATATTTGCATGACATGCTATGTTAAAAAGTTTAGTTAACAAGGATGCATGTGCTTTCATTTTGTTTTCTGTTGTTTGCTGCATTTTAATCAAGGTTTGAGACTTGCTGAATTGTAGAGTTTTCCTTTAGAGCAATGTTTCCCAACTTCAGCAATTTTAAGATGTGTGGACTTCAACGGCCACGGGTGTTTGGGGTGATGTTGGCTGGAGACTTCTGAGAGCTGAAATCCACCCATCTTAAAGTTGCTGAGATGAGAAACACTGCCCTAGAAGGAATTTTAGGTTCATTTCTTTTCATGCTGCACCAGATTTCAAATAAAATGACCAACAGGGTAATTTATTCAATTTCCCATAATATATGATAAGCTGGTATACCAAATAATTTACAAGGTCTTGCTTTCTTGGGGATTCTGGGAATGAAAGACCAAGTCACATCCGAAAAGTTCCCAGTTAGGGAAAAGTAATCCCACCATATCAATAAATGAGCCAAATTTTAGCAAGAGTAATATGCATCAATCCTTATTGATTGAAGTATTTATAACAAATTTCTTGGGTTCCTTTTGGCCAGAAAAAAAACAAATGTTTTCTCAGCTCAGAAGGAGGTAAAAAGTACTAATTTTCTGCCTCCGGGAAAATACATCATAGTTTATGTCTGTTAACATATTACCATTTCAGCCTGATGGCTCAAGAGAAAAAGGGAAGTAAAGATGCAAGTTAAAGCACTGCAGTTTCCGAATGGGATGACTTAAAAGCAGATACCTTACTGGCACTCTTTAAAATCAAAACAGATGGGTGATCCTTCTTTTATTAACAGCAGCCTCTAGGCCAAGGGCAAAACAAAATCCTGTAGAGAACAGTCATTAAAAAAGAACATTAGCAAAAATTATTTCTCAACACAATATAAAACACAACAGGGGAGCCTATTACTTCATCTATAATGTATTTCCCAAGAGGCACAAACTCTGTGTTCTGCTGTAGCTTAACAAGGATATAAATCCATTAGCTGTTAAACATCTTTTTCAGACCTTAGAGCAGTTGTGAGTTGAGCATTATAAGCTAATTGACAGGATTGTTCATGTAATCTGAATTAAATGTATATGTCTCCAGCCCCCTAACTGTATCAAGTTTGGTGGTATTTGTTACTTACATAAAATAGAAGATAATTCAATAGTAGTGGTGGCTTAGCCTTAGGGCATATGTAGTGAGAACACAACATTCAGATCTCTGCTTAAGATAACCTTTATTGTCATTTTTTTACTGTGTGCACAATGGCACACATAAAAAATGAAATTTAGTTGCCTGCTCTCAAAGTGAAACACATACATGACACACACCTAAACATACTATATACAACATATGTATAGACCCACACCCCTACATATACATAACAAATAAATATTAAATGCTGTCCATCTTGAATATATAACGGAAGGAGGAAGCTTGAGAGTTCACAAGGTTAATGCTGTATGGAATGAAACTATGGCTGAATCTGGATATTCTGCTACGGATACCACGAAGCCTCCTCCCAGAAGGTAACAAGCTTAGAAGTTTAAGGAATTCTTGGTAAGATGCTTATTTTCAATGAAGCCTACGTTTGCAGGTTTTTACTTTTATCTCTACTTCATAGCAAAAATAAACTGAAGGTGCTCAAACTAGAGTGGAAATGCAAATTGAGATTTTTTCTGTTTCGGATAGATGTTGACTGCTGTAAATGATGGAATTTTAAAGAAGGTAAAAAGTTGAAAGAGATAGTAGCCTAAGAAGAGTTTAATTTTCAGCTGCTCTAATTATCTGGTGGTTGCATGTCCCAATGATATTTTTCCTGGATGTTTAGTTCTTACAATGATTTCTTTGAATCAGAAATTATATTCAGGCTTTGCTAAGTACCACAGAATTTTAGGGGTATCAGGTAGATGGTTATAGACATTAACATGAAAAGGACAATCAATACTATTCATAGAAAGGCAGATTAAAAATCTGGAATGATATGCAGAATATAACACAAGGCTCTTGGGGCAAAATATTTTTTGAAGTATTTGTTACAAGAGAAAAAATTCAGCATAAAGCAAAATATGTTAGAGAAAACTTATGAATATGTTTATGTTATTATTTGGTATGATCTTCCACCTGGATATACCAAGCAAACAAAGTGAGCAAAATATGCTGCTAACCTTGGATTCAGCTATGTAGTACTTTTAAAGCTGACCTGAATGTCCTTTTTTTTTCTTGGCTGTCATGATTTGTCTTCTCAGGTAGGTCCACCATCATCCAATGGTTATCTTGGGTCATTCCTTATTGCTCCCATTCAAATCAGTGGAGTGCGCTGCCAAAAAAACCAATTTTCACAGCAAAATCAGCTGTTTGTCACAGGAGAAAAAGATCGCCCTGCCATTCAGCCCTCCATTTTAGGAGGACTCCTCCCAGTGTATTAATTAGCAGCAGAGAAGTATTGCATTCACAGGAGTTCCAAATAACATCTTCCAAATCACTTTGAAGCATGCCTGCTTTATATTTAATACTTTCTAAATCATGGGCAGCATGTGTAAGTACTGGCTGATGTGAAGCAACCAGTATTTTGTGAAGCGCTCTTATCCAAACATTTGAACTTCCCAAATATATCTGGTTAGTGATTCTGTTTTATATTCATTGCTCGCACTAAACATTTATTTATTTAATTTTTTTATCTCACCTTTATTGCTTTGTAAGTAACTTAGGGTAGTGAACACCCTCCTAATTTCAAATGCATGGCATCATTGTAATATTTCCTTTATTTCCAGATATGCCAGCAAATAATGAAAAGACAAAATATAAGGCTTTAGCTACATTTCCAAAAGCCTTGTATACAGATGTCAGAGTCCCTTCCAAATTTACTTATTTGTAATTTCTATTGAGATTAAAGGGAAGAATCCAGTAAATGAAATAAAATATTGCTTGTGTCCTTATCCTGCCTGTTTTCTTGTCTGAGTTCCTGAAATCACTCCAACTACTAAGTCTGCCAAATTCATATTCATGCTAAACAAACTGTGCTGATACAAAGTATGATGATAACAATAGACTAATTTGTCACCTATGGTGGCACACTTAGGAACCTCCACAAACATTCATGCAACATAAATTACTATAAAATAATATGTAGAATAAGTTTAGCTTTTTTCCCCGGCAGCTAAGACATAATATATGGGAATCTATAAGGCTACTTCAATATTATGCCTGGAAAATTAAACTTTTTAGTAAACTGCAATTGTACAGTTTAAATGGAAGGATTAGATAGTTCACCAACAAAGTCACAACTCTTGCTACCTAGAAATTGTGCTGTAGTCAAGTTTATTCCAATATCACAATCTCACCACCTAATTGGATTTATAACACTGTAGGCAAGATCCTCCAACTGTTGTTTTTTAGCTAGGTTTTATTAACCTTTTCAATGTTTTTCACTGCCTTGAGTTATTTGTAAAATAAGGCAGGATATAAATATTTTCCCCCATAGTATGTCTTACTGTATTGTACTTACAAGTATTGCTGGCCCAATTGATAAAAGAAAGCGCAGGACCGTATTGGTTGGAAACATGCAGATAGACAGTGGCTAAAATGATGATCATGATGAAGTCTTACTAGCATTTCTGGGGAGCACTGTGGGAATTAAATCAGTAATATAATTAAGATGTTTAGTGCAAAGCAACTTAGGTGAGAACAAATTTGTCCAAGTTCTCTCAAGTTTGGAGATTCAAGTTATGTACATAGAAAAAGATTATTTATGTTGCATGTCTATTTTTAGGAGGAAATAGCAAGGAGTTTCTTTTGGGTGGTGCATCTCCCCTGGTCAATAAAACCTGTTAAAATCATAAGTGTGCCTGTGTCCAGAGTTTCTTCATATGCATTATTCGGGAAGTAGATTTCAAAATGTGAGTGACACTCTTTATCTACTGCAGGGGTTCTCAACCTTGGCAACTTTAAGACTTGTGGACTTCAATTCCCAGAATTCCTCAGCCAGCTTTGCTGGCTGATGAATTCTGGGAATTGAAGTCCACAAGTCTTAAAGTTGCCAAGGTTGAGAACTCCTGATCTACTGCATTAGAAAGATTACATTTTTACGCTTTCCCAAACAATTCAAGCCCGGCAGCGTCACGCTTTTTATCACTTAAAAGCGGAATAAGGTAAAATGGATTAAGAGCCACCAAACCATCCGGTTTCCCTTTCTGGAACGGAAGGAGGGAGGAAAAAGTTGCATCAACCCCTGCAGCAAACTACACACACGAAAAGCCTCCTCCGGACGGGGAAATTCAAAGATCCGCCGAGGGTACAAAAAAAAAAAAAAAAAAAAGGCTCCAACGCATCCCTGTACGCCAGTGTTTCTCAACCTTGACAATTTTAAGGCGTGTGGACTTCAACTCCCAGAATTCCACAGCCAGCTTTGCTGGCTGAGGAATTCTGGGAGTTGAAGTCCACACGCCTTAAAATTGTCAAGGTTGAGAAACACTGCTGTACGCAAAGAGGAACGAGAGAGACTCAGATCTCGCGATAATCGGGAGAAACGCGGCGCCCGGGAGACCGTTGCTCGGCAACGAGACGCGGGTAGCCGGGGTCGTCGGTAGTCTCCAGCCTCGCCGCCATGGATGCTGAGACGCTGCCTTACGCGCTGGACCTCGTGGCCAGCAGCGGGATATGCTTGAGCCCAGAGAAACGGGCCGCCTTGAGGAACTCCCTGCTGCTGGTGCGCAGGGACTACCGTTTCGAGCAGGTCCGCCTCTGGGGCCGCATCCAAGGCATCCGAGGAGCGTACTATATCGCCGAGGGTCTGGGACCAGACAGGGCTGGGATCAGAAGCCGGCTCTACAGGTGGGCGACCGCGGCCGGGAGGCCCGTATGCCTGCCTACCTCGAGGGTGATCTAGAGCAGGGGATCTGGTGGGGAGGGCGGGCTGCCCTAGACCAGGGCTTTTCAACCTTGTCACCCATTGTACCACTTTTAGGATATGGCAGTGGTGGCGAACCTATGGCACGCGTGCCAGAGGCGGCACTCAGAGCCCTCTCTGTGGGCACACGTGCCATGCCCCGGAGATGGCAACCGTCCCTCTTCAACCAGCCGCCTGCTAACTCGCTGAGGTCCCACATGGCCAGATGCATCCCAGCACCCATGCGCTCGCTGGCCTCTGTGTGCAGGGACCGATGGTGTCAGACAGCAGCCGCCCTGGCCCGTCTCACCTTGCCCAGTGACAATGGCACCCCCGCCTTGCCTCGCCTCACCCCGCACCTCGCCTCTGGCACAAGTGCCATAGGTTCGCCACTGCTCCACCTGCCAGAAACCCCCTGGATCTCCCCCAAATCCTGCCCGGCCCCCACAGGCATCCCTCCCCACGAGTAACACAAAGGTGATCATGCCCACCTTGGCCACACCCACCCAATCGGCCACGCCCACCCAGTGGGCCACGCCCACCTGGCACCCGGCGATAAATAAGTGGGTTTGGGTTGCAGTTTGGGCACTCGGTCTCTAAAAGGTTCGCCATCACTGGGATATGGCAACATCCGAGTACCACCAGTCGCCTAGCAAGGTGTCAAAAACTTGATGACCCCCCAAAAAAACCCAGAAAAAAAGTGATAAAGTACAGGTAGTCCTCGACTTAAAACAGTTCGCTTAGTGACTGTTCGAAGTTACAATGGCACTGAAAAAAGTGCCCCCCAAGCCACAGCCGAGCAAGACACCTGTCTGCCCACCCGGCGGCGCTCTTCCTCCTGTCCAAGGTTTCCATTGTTGTGGGCATTTCTGTTGAGGATTGGCAGCAGGGGTGGGGTGGGGGGGTGTTTGGTTTTTATTCCCCCCCCCCCCCGTCTGCTGGGTGGTTGCAGCAGGTTTTGGTCACTTCACATGACCCTGGGACACTGTGACCGTCATAAATATGAATCAGTTGCCAAGCATCTGAATGTAAATCACAAGACCCTGGAGATGCTGCAACATTCCAGCTGATCGGTGCTTCTTCTGGGCTCAGCAGAAGCACCAGGATCAGCGCCGAGCTCCAGCTGNAGCCCTGACAGCCCCGAAGTGCCGATCAGCTGGAAAGCGGCACTGATCCTGGCGCTTCCGCTGAGCCCTGACAGCCCTGCAGCTCCAGCCGTCTCTCGCTCAGGCTTGTGCGGTGCTGCCACCGGTTCAGCTCATTCCCCTCCCCTGCTACCACTTTTCTAGGATGGTCGTGTACCACCTGCCAGGTGCCAATGTACCACAGGTGGTACCCGTACCACCGGTTGAAAAGCCCTGCCCTAGACTTCCCGCGCTTGAACAGGGTACAGGTAGTCCTCGACCTATGACCACAACTGAGCCCAAACTTCATATTGCTAAGTGGGAAATTTGTTAAGTGAGTTTGGCCTTAAGTGAGTTTTGCCTCATTTCGTGACCTTTCTTGCCACGTTTGCTAAGTGAATCACTGCAGTTGTTAAATTAGTAACGCTGTTGTTCGGTGAATCTGGCTTTCCCATTGACTTGCCTTGTCAGAAAGTCACAAAAACATCCGAATGAAAAATCACGTGCCCATTGGGGGTGCTGCAAGGGTCCTGAGTGTGAAAAATGATCACAAGTCACTTTTTTTCAGTGCAGTTGTAACTTGGAATAGTCACTAAATGAACTGTTGTAAGTCTAGGACTACCTGTACTGGTTTTCTGAGAGGTGGATTCCTTGATAGGAGAAGCAGGACCTGTTGAATTTCTTACATTCTGGTTACCCAACAGGCAGAGGAGCCTTGTCAGGTGGAGAGAATGTTGCCAGGTACAAGTAACCTAGGCTTGCAACAGTTCATTTAGTGCAGTGGTTCTCAACCTTTTAAATGCCGTGACCCCCAACCGGTCGTACGTCGAGGACTAAACCGATCGTAAGTCGAGGACTACCCAACCAGTCGTAAGTCGAGGACTTTCCCTGCCCGGGAGCGCCGCGCATGCGTGGTTCCGCCCCCTGCGCCGGCTGAGGCATAGCTGGCAAGCGGCAGAGACGGAGCAGGCCGACCACCAGCCGGCCCAGCTCAAGGGAGGTAAGGCACCCGCCGGAAAAGGGAAAAAAAATGGCGGACAGCCTTGCTTGGCAACCCCCGTGAAATGGTCGATCGACCCCAAATGGGGTCGCGACCCATAGGTTGAGAACCACTGATTTAGTGACTGTTTGAAGTTACAACAGCACTGAAAAAAGTGACTTATGATCATTTTTCATACTTATACTGTTGCGGCATCCCCATGGTCATGTGATCAAAATTCAAATGCTTGGCAACTGACTCAGATATATGATGGTTGCAGTGTCCCAGGGTCATGTGAGAACCTTTTGCCACCTTCTGACAAGCAAATTCAATAGGGAAATCAGATTCACTTAACAAGCGTGTTACTAACTTAACAACTCCAGTGATTCACTTAACAACTGTGGCAAGAAAGTTTGTAAAATGGGACAAAATTCACTTAACAGATGTCCCACTTAGCAACAGAAGTTTTAGGCTCAGTTGTGCTCATATGTGCACACTTATGAGCACAAGTCGAGGACTGTCTGTAGCTGAAAAGGAACAATAGCAATCAGTATGCTTCTGGAGCTTCTGCTGTCCTAAAGAGCTGAAACTAGTGGACAAAAAATAACAACATAAAAATAAAAATATGATTAAAAAAGGAACTATTAAGAACTTCACTTTCTTTTTTAACAATGCCTATATGCAAAACCCAACTTCTCTTCAAGGACAGGATTTTCATTTGCAGTTTTTATTATTGACCCTGGAAGAATTAGGACCATTTTACAAATAATCAAACTATTTAAAAAAAATCTGTTAATGTGGGCTCAGTAGAACAATATAATTCACTCTGCGATGTGAAATGACAATACAGGTTTCTCTACCCAGGAATTGGATTCTGCCAATTGCTTTAAAAAAATAAAATCCATGATCAGGAATGATTTATTTATTAAGACCAGCCAAATATGAACAAAATTGTAACAATCATAATTTGTCATCAGTTCATCTTTTAAGCAGACAAAATATAAGGGGTGTGCAAATCTTCCCAGAATGGTGTTTTGCAATGGGTGGGAATGCATACAAAGAAACACTCTGTTTGTATCTTTCTTCCCAGGTTAAATGGATGCTTTGTAAGTTACCACATGTGCGTACTTGCATAATCATTTCATGTTATTTTTTTCCTTCAAAGAATTTAGTCAGGTCTAAAAGGTACTATAAAAAAGGAAGTGAGGCAGAAGATGGGGAGGCTTACATAATGTTGAAATCTTAAGATCTGTACAGTCAATCTTGGAACAGAAGAAAAGCTACGGGAAATGACTGATTTTCTGTAATTTTCCTATATTTAAACATTCAGTACTATATTCTTTTGAAAGAACCTTTGTGGATTATAAAAAGAACAAAAATAATTAGCAGTGTTGATTTTAGTAAAATAAGATTGATTTTGTTAAGGTGTTATATAAATAAAGGCAAATAAAAGCTTCATTGAATTGGTAGGGACATAGACTTGAAGGGTATTTAACATAAAATTAATGTTTCGATATGTTCTTTTCAGTGTTATGGTTTTGCTTTTAATGATTTTATGTAATTATTGAATATAATTGACACACACCCACATGTTAATAGATAAAACAAATGTTTATACAGGAATTTCAATATTCAGAGCACATATTTATACTAAGAAGTTGTAATCCCAACAACTACCATAAGGTCTAATACAATATCCCATAATACACTCTGGCAAATGAAGAGGAGTGGGGGCTGAGAGAATGGCTACCTACTTGATTCATGGCACCATTGCAGTTGAAATTGGGGTTGTTTGACTTAAAATTCAATCTGTGAGCCATTCATGCTGTTCCAAGTCTTTTCTGATATTCTATTCTGTCCTACTCCCCACTGCAATTCTGCTTGTCAGCTGTTCCTTTGACAATTTTAATGGGATTTTTGATAGACCCCATAAATGTCTATAAAGAAGTTTCTGATTTGTTTTCCTTGTTTAATGATACTAAACTCATTTGGTTTTTTTGTTGGGTGGATAGCTTGAATGGTGTGGATTGGAGTCTTCTGCCACCCCCCTCAGAAGAAATTATTGCAATGACTGCAGGATTAAAGGGACGTTTCCAAGGGGACCCATCTTATGAGTATGAATCCCCTGAGAAAAAAGAAGAAGGTGAAAGACCATATGAAGAAGAAATTGGAGTAAGTCAAGGAAGTGATGTTTTGATCTTTGTACATAATTATTTATGAATATTCTATATCATTTGTATGGTTTTTTTTAAAAAAATATTTATTATAATGTTCTTTTCATCATGCTTTTGGTGCATTTCTATCTCATCCTTTGTCTAACCTAATTAGAGAATGTGGGATTCCCATTAACCTTTCAGATATTTGTCAAACATTCTTTGCCTCAAGAATGAATTACAGTACTTAAGAATGCAGTACATGTTTTACATTTATTTTGCTATAGATGAAATGTTATTTTTGAACTTGGTTTCAGTGACATCCTGTAAATTAAACTAGTACCATAGGCTTAGGCAAAGATTTAATTTTCCATCCATTCTTTTTTCTCTCAGTGATCTTAAGGCAGAGGTACAGTGAAGTCCAATGGTCACATTAAAGCTTGGGGTGACTCCAGAGCTTTTTTTTTTTTTTAAAGAAAAAAAAGGGAAAAAAATGGAGCATAGGGAAATCCAGAGAAATTACGGTATATATAGCCTGAATAGTCTTTTGCCTATCCTCCTTCCCCACTTCCAATGTTTAAAAATATTAAATTTAAAAATAGACATTCTCTTGATCCTTTCCTTCAAGGAAGAAAACTTGTCTTTAAATTAGAGGTTCTGTCCTGCTAACTATTTGTTTCCTTCCTTCCACTCTCAAAAACCAACACATGTACAAAGAAATTTAAAAAAACGGCAAATGCGTTAATTGGCTGTGGGAAATTCAAGATATGTCTTCCATAACTGAATTCTTGGGTGCTGCTGGCCTTAAAAGAACTGATTATATAAAAATCTAGTTGACTGAGAAGATAGTTCTGTTTGCTGTTTCCTCTTTATTTTTCACATTCTTTATCCAGTTACAGATGGAAGAAATAAAGAGCAGGCATTGGTAGGCACACTCAGAATTTGGGTATTTTAGACTCTCACCCACACATTTGCCAGCAGCAATTTTGCAGAATAACGTAACAAACAAACAAGAAAAGACTGTGTTCTCAATGATGTCCTTTTTTGGAGGAAGAAAAAGATTTGTAGGCAGAACATGACCCCCTTTCCCCAAAATGAAAAAAAAAATCCTTTATTTGTATCATTTCTAAATTGTTAAAGATTTATTATAATGATAGTTGGTTTATTATCATGGTTGGCACATAGTCAGCCAGTGGTTTAGACTGGATTTTTTTTTGTCTTATCGACAATTGTTAAGTCTGGGTTCTTATTATTATTCAGATGGTTCACATGTATTATGAGCTTCATAGTGATGAAACCACAAATAGCTATCTGCTATTTTGGCTAATTATTTGGGATAAAATTGCACAAAAATAAAATTACTAAAATAATGGGAAGTACATTTGTTCTTGTTTTTTTCCATTGTTAGCAATTTCATGTTGATGTTTACTCCAGAATGACTAATACTAGGCAAATGGGTGTTGTCCACAAAACTTGAGAATTACGTTTCTGACTAGATGAATAGCTATTCTTACAAATAGAAGGAATGGAGATCAAAATATGCAATTATTTTGTTCTGGACTGGGGAATCTCTGGCCTATGTAGGTTTCTACATGGAAATTCTACAATTCACTACTGTAGATTCTTTTTCTCTCCAGGTACAAGATTTTCACCTCAGATTAGCAGCAGAGACAATATTTTCTTCAAAGTACTCAGAAGGAGAAACCTTTTGAGTGCTGAGCAGGGAAAATGAGATGCTTATTTTTGCAGCAGTAATGAAAGAATAATTCCTTATGGATTTTCATTGCACAGGGAGAAGAGTTGTGAATATGATTGCTTTAAGAGATGGGAGATTACAAGAGGTTTTAAACTCACGTCTAGCCCTCACATTTAGCCCTACATCATTTGGCAGGGTAGAATTGGGCATTTTTCCCTTCAGCTAGATTTTCTTCCCCACCCTGAGTTATTCTTAATAGTCACAAACCTATTAATCAGATATGAGAAAACATGTTGAAATGACTGAATGTGAATGGAAACTTGATACTTTCAATACAAACACGTTCAAGCTGACTTTAGTTATAGATTTTTTTCTAAGGCTTACATTTTTTCTGATGAATAATGGATAACTAAGTAAGATCCTTATTCACTGAGCTTACAGTTTACATAATATGGATGGAAAAGCATTGAAGAAAAATACAGAATATGAGGTATACAATATATTACCTTTAGTCTGAATATTAATTTCTCAGTACTTTCCAAGGATTGTTATAAAACACAACACATTACATTTACTCATGTTATAATTAAGGTCCACATCATTCAAACCAAATCTACATTATATTTAATTGGGATAATGGAAAAACTATTTTTAATGGGTGTGTCTAAAATAAAGTTTCTTTCATTCTCCCCTGAAATACTCAGAAATGAGTAAAGTTAGGGAAAAAATTAGCCTGCAATCTTGATTTGATTTCTCTTTCTTTAAAATATTTAAAATATTTTGGTTAATATTGTATTCTACATTTGTATTTGATATAAAAGGAAAATAATTTTTAAATGTAAAATGACTGAATTTTTATATTTGCCTTAGAACTCCTTAGTGCAGTGTATAAATGCAAGTTATCTATTTTTTGCATCAATCAATATCAGAAATTCCTGTGACCCGGTGTATATTTACTTCATTTTTGTCTACTTTTCTGTTAAAATAGCACTAACAATTACTCAACATACATTTTTAGATGTAGACAATCATAATTAATGTAAAATCAAGTATAAATGAAGTATATTGAGAAATAAGTCACATTCATCAGATAAAACCAACATCAGTTTAAACCAAGGCCAACAGAGTTAACCAGGCCTTTGATGAATGTGGATTTCAAAATGTGGCAGCCGCTACTGAGATATCCTTTCTCCTATTCCTGCTAAGTTTGCTTCTGTTGGTCCCTACTTTCTCTACATTTTAAAAAACCTAGTCAGGTTCCTATAGGAAATTGATCTTTTATATAGCCTGATCATAAGCCTACAAGTTGTCCTTGACTTACGACCACAGTTGAGCCCCAAATTTCTGTTGCTAAGGAAAACAGTTGTTAAGTGAATTTTGTCTCATTTTACAACCTTTCTTGCCACAGCTGTTAACTGAATCACTGCAGTTGTTAAAGTTAGTAACACGGTTATTAAGTGAATCTGGCTTCCACATTGACTTTGCTTGTCAGAAGGTCTCAAAAGGTGATCACGTGACCCCGGGACACTTCAACCATCATAAATATGAACAAGTTGCTAAGCATCCAAATTTTGATGGAGATGCTGTAACGGTTGTAAGTGCGAAAAATGGTCATAAGTCACTTTTTTCAGACTTCAAATGGTCACTAAGCGAATGGTTGTGAGTTGAGGACTGCCTGTATTTAGTATAATTAGCAATTTGTATCTGAAAATGAATCCGTACTCCACAAAACTTTTATAATGAGGATATCACGTTCTCCTTATAAGTGGCCCTAATGAGTTATCTGTGTGAATGATGATGGACAAATTAAAGTTTCTGCAGACATCCCGTGTTGATTAGACACAACTTTAAAATAGTATTCTGAAGAGTTTACTAGTTTTGTGTCTGGATTTGAAATCTCAGTTTCGCTCATGATTTTTATTAGGTGATATTCCACCTTCCCATTTCAGTTTTCTATTTGCAGAATGGGATTTAAATTATCCCTGTCTATTAGATGTAAGGATTAAAAAATAATGAAAAGACTCTGATAATTTGCAGAGCTAGGCACTAAGAGTGATAAATAAAAATGACTTGCGTGTTTTATAGCAGTTGTAATTAATTCCCTTTGGGAGGTGATTATGGGAATTTGTTTCTGCTATCTACAGCTCATAGACACAGTGAACATCAATTTATTACATAGATGAAACGATACTGGCAGACAATATTTTAGCAAATAATAGCACAAGAACTTTGCAGAATACCAATATGTTCATTAATGGGCTATAGGTGACCTTGGAATACCACTTCATTACTGTTTGTATTGAAAGACTGTTTACAATGCCTTGGTAAGGCCACACTTGGAATACTGCATCCAGTTTTGGTCACCGCGATGTAAAAAAGATGTTGAGACTTTGGAAAGAGTACAGAGAAGAGCAACAAAGATGATTAGGGGACTGGAGGCTAAAGCATATAAGGAACGGCTGCTGGAATTGGGTATGTCTAGTTTAATGAAGAGAAGGACGAGAGGGGANTCTCACTGAATATTTGTATTGCTTCTTGTGGAAACACAGCTAAGTACTATTTGTAATCTCATGGAATACTTTTCTCCATAATACTCCATAATTGTATTTTCCTTTCCATTTGTAATATAAATAAGGTATTTAAGAAGGAACAAAGTCACTTCATGTTCACTAATGTTTTTGCAATGAAAACATCTTAAATACAGTAAATATATTTGAATATATCTACGTCTAAGTTCATTAAGAGGGAGATATACTCATTTTAAACAGAATTAATATGATTGTTCTAATTAACTTTTTCATTAGTAACCTGGGAATAATAATAACAATAACGTATTAACTTTTTATGCTGTCTGATTTCCAGTGACTCTAGGCAGTTTTCATACCTATTAGATTGAAGGAATATTATTCTGTCCCAAGTCTCATTCTTATGAAATATAGGGAATAGATTTTAATGTTTGCTTTTTCTTATAGCCCTTGGTCAAGGAGGAGATCCGTCTGGTAGCCACAATACATCAGATAGATCAAGAAGTTGGTATTGTTCCACGGGGCGCATATGTAAAATCTCCACTTGGACCCGTGCATGTGAACAGGAGCTTTGAAGGTAAATCTGTGTGAGGACACTTCCATTGTCTTTGAACTCTAAAATGACTATAATCACGCATGTTGGGTTTTTAAAATTTTGTTCAACAGTCATTCACAACTCATATATGACAGACATACCCATGCACATGGCAGATACACAAGTTATGTATTGTGCATATAAGGAAGCAGGATGTGTGTAAAACACACATAAAAATGTCATGTTTTTAGAATAGGAAAGGCTAAGTTATTGCTGCTACTCAGTTTTTTTATGTACATAATAAGCATAATGGAAATAGAAATGTTAGCATTTAGAGTTTCTCCACATCGTTCTTCACTTTCAGTGCACAAGAGCAAAGTGGAAAGATATGAATATCAAGCCATGCAGTTAGTTTCCAACTTCTGCTCCATGGTTTATAAGTTCATGTCTAACATGTTTATTGGTTTGAAATCTTGGTGGCTGTTGTTGTATGGAACCCTCATGAGGAAAGGGCATTTTTTTCTTTAAACCACATTGACCTTTCTCATTTAACAGTTTGGAGGCATGCACTACTCTTTTCTTTTGTTCTTGCAAAATGCACACACACACACACACACACAAACACTCAGACTTTTTTTAACCATCTCAGTTGCAGTGTCTGTGTATTGTGCAAATAAACAAAAAAATGAAAAGATCTAAATAGAAGCTCCTCTTTCACCCCAGTGTTGTAAGCTACTGTGAAGAAAAGAGGGAAAAAAGAGGGACATGCAGTCTGAACTCCTTGTTTATTATCTGGCAACAGTAGCCATAAAATAAGGGGGAAAAGGCACCCTTCTCCAAGTTCACGTTTTTTGCTCAAGACATTCTAGCTATTCTAAGAAGTGCTGTTACCATGCTGACTAGGTTACAGTAGCGCACTGGGAAACTCTGAATTCTCTTGTATACGAGAGTGTAAAGCAGGGGTATGCACACAGCTCTTTTCAGATATTTTGTGTTACGTAGCTCCAGCTGATGAGAAGAAACATGGAATTTGTCCCAAACATCTGGAGGGCAATAAGTTCCCTCTCTCTACAGAATATAGTCTTATATGTCATGAGCTATCCTATGCTAATGAGTACTGTTTTCCATCTAACAACGTACAGGCTTAGCTGGATGTTCACATTTGCTGAGCTGACATAAACTTAGCCGGGAAATATGTGTCTTCTCCTCTCAGCTCTTTTATGGCATGGGTTAGAAGGGCCCCTTCTTAACTTTTACGGGTGGAGATTAGGGCTGCAGAGTGATATCATTAATAGGTCAGGATGGCTTTTTAGCAGAAGAGTTTGGGAATTTCCTTATTTTTAGTGATTATATTCCTATTTTACAGTTAATATAGTTTTCATATTTTCCCATGTCAAAAGGGTGGGAAGCTGTCCATGTTGAGTTTTCACAGCCGGAGAGATCTCTGAGGCGCAAAAATGTCCTCTGAGTTTAGGTATTGCAACATTTTGTGTATGCTTCAGAATTCTGTTGGACTTTACCACTGAAAGATTTTTGTCGATCAACTCAAATTCTTAATGTGAATGAAATTGCTTAAAACGTCTCACCACCCATTTCTAATTATTTGTCCACTTACATAAATAATACCATCAGTGCCTCGGGTATTGTGGAAAAAATAAGAGGGAGAAGCCTTATGTATACAAGCCTTAAGTTGTACAAGTGAAGCAATCAATTAATCAAATAAAATGCCTAAATATTTCATAGGTCAATTAAGAAAGTGAACTTGCTGTAAGTTTGAAGAATGGAAATACATTACTAAAAGAGACTACTGAGGAGTACTGATTTCCTTTTTTCACTTTCATCAATAGGTTTGTCCCTAACAGAAGCAAAAAAGTTAAGCTCCTATTTTCATTTTACTGAGCCTGTAAAATTGAAGAATAAAACTCTGCTGGAAAAAGCTGACTTGGATCCAGCAATTGACTTTTTGGATTCTCTCGAACATGATATCCCTAAAGGTAGGAAAAAGTATTATCCCAAATGCAAACTGGAAAAGACAGTGGGTGGCACTTGGGGCCTAGTAAAGAAGAGAGATTTGCCTTTTGTTGTGTAAACGAAATAATGATTATTTCATATGTTTCACTCAATGTGTTTTAGCCGTTTAGCTTTTTGGATTAACCTGCAATTCTCTTATCCTTAAACTGAAATTGGAGAGGAATGCACAGGACAATACAGGTGCATATAACTAAATTTATTTTTTGGCTCAGGCTGAATTGAGTGGGAATTTGTGTGTGTAATATTCCCATTTTTAAAATTTATTCCTCTCTCAGTATATGAATTTACTTTGAAGAGGCACGACTGTCTTTCATTACAACAATTCTCAAAATAAAAAAAATAATCAAATAATATATTTTACGCTATACAAAATCTTGTAGAAGAGCCCACATGCTTTACAGAAGACTATCTTTGAATTGTTAAAACAGCTTGGTGTGGCAGCTTCAGAAGATTCAGTAGTTGTCTTAATATTTATCTGTATGCACATTGACACATTTACTAGAAAAGTTTCGGAAATTGCTGAGCCTTTTACAGGTCACATCTGTTTTAGCACTTTAAGGAAAGGTGCTATATAGTGCTAGTATATTTTGTTAAATACCGCTTTCAAATACTTTCACCTCCCTGTATACTTTTTTCCTAAATAAAATAACTAAACAATAACGAGTAAATCAGATTCCACAGACAAAAATAGGTAATGCATGCAAAAACTAAAATGCTGCACCAGTGTTCATTAAAGATTTAAAAAATAATCACAAAATCATTTTTAAACAAAAAGAAATAATTTGATGAAATGAAAACCATCAGGAAATAGATGGGCTTATATTGTCATTTTTGAAATAATTTGTAACTTGAAAGCTGTGTCCAAAAAGTACAGGTAATCTTCAACTTATGACCACAATTGAGCCCAAAAATTATGTTGCCAAGTGAGACATTTGTTAAGTTAGTTTTGCCCCATTTTACAACCTTTTTGCTACAGTTGTTAAGTGAATCACTGCGGTTGTTAAGTTAGGCATATGGTTGTTAAGTAAATCTGGCTTCCCCATTGACTTTGCTTGTCAGAAGGTCACAAAAGGTGATCACATGACCCCCAGAACACTGCAATGGTCATAAACATGAGTTAGTTGCGAAGCATCTGAATTTTGATCATGTGGATGCTGCAATGGTCCTAATTGTGAAAAACGGTCATAAGTCCCTTTTTTCAGTGTGGTTGTAACTTTGATGGTCACTAAATGAACTGTTGTAAGTCGATGACTGCTTGTATATGTTATGGGTAGCAGTGTGCAAAAATAGACATGTTGAAAAGTCACACATAAACTTAGGAGAATTAGATACAGTACCAATTTTATACAAAACTGAACAGAATCTACTTCAGGATCGAATTAAATTGAACTGCACATTCCTTTTTTTATATAATAACAACATAAATGATCAGTGCGGTGAGTTTTTAAACAAATGCCATACAAAGCCTGTCACATCTTTTCATTGGGTAGTTTTGTCTGCTTCATGTGTCAGCACCCTGAGCTGTTTAAACTGTTATGTTTCCTCCTAATTAGGAAGGGGTTGTAGCAGCCGGTGTCCTGCTGTGTGAGATAAGACTACCAGTGATAGAGGAGCTTTTATGAGCATTTTACATGCCCCTTCCATCCAATATTGCTTTGTCTTATCTAAATGTGGTCTTGTTAACTCTAACCTTCTATCTTGAGGTTTGGTTCAAACTTTTCTTTGATGAACTATTGCACTTAGCTACACAGTTGGCAATCTGCAGCAGTCTGAGCAGTGGAGAATTGTGACCATACACTTGCTATGGTATGCAAAAATTGTAGTTCCTACTGCAAGGCAATGAAAATCCATGGTTATTTAACCAATGCCACTCCGTGTGCTTCCTTGACTATATTTAATAAGATGTTAAAGCAAGATGCTCATAGACTTGAATTATGAACGCTAAGTTTAGGGTAGGGATTTGATTTTGTAGCAAAGATTTTTTTCTTTGTCTCTGATTTTTTGTTTCATTCTTTTTACTTGGCAGCTGTATTACATTTAGCAAACTTATGACATTTCAAAGTTTGTTTGAAACAATTGTTTTTATTTCAGGTTGTTTGTTTATGAGCTGAAACTGGTAAATTGGAATTAGGGATAATTTTAAATTTTAAAACACTTTAAGGGATAGATTTTTGCCTTTAGATATTATTGCAAAAAAGTAGAAAGAGAAATAAAAGTTATCATAGTGAATCATTGTCTCTTTTAAAAGATTTAGACCAGGGGCCCCCAATCCCTGGTCCATGGACCGGCACCAGGCCATGGCATGCCAGAAATCAGGCCGTGCAAACAAGTGAAGCCCTATCCGCAGGATGCAGACAGTATGAGAAACCATGCCCCCTTTGATCTATAGAAAAACCTCTCTTAATGGAACCAGCTCCTGGTGCCCAAAAGGTTGGGGGCTGCTAATTTAGACCTTCCCCTACCATTTTTGACCAGAGTGATTTTTCACCCCACCATTCTTTTTAATATCACAAACTTGTCTGTCTCCTGAGGAGGGATTATTATAATGAATTATGTAATGTAACATAATGTAATGTAATACAATACCATATGATATGATATGATATATGATAGATAGGATAGATAGTACTACTGCCAGATGGATTTGCAGTTGGCTGACCAACCACAGCATATGGTCCTCAATAGAACTACATCTATATGGAAGGAAGCGTGGAGTACCTCAAGGTTCTGTCTTGGAACTAATGATCTTCAACATCTTCATAAATGACCTAGATGAGGGGATTGAAGGGGCACTCATCAAATTTGCAGATGACACCAAGCTAGCTAGAACTGCTAATCCTTTGGAAGACAGACTGAAGGTTCAGAAGGATCTTGACAGACTTGAGCATTGGGCCCTATCCAACAAGAAGTTCATTGATGAGAAAAGAACCCCTTACTTTTCTCACCACTGAACTGCATCTTTGGAAGATAGACTTAAGATTCAGAAGGATTTTGATAGATTTGGGCATTGGACTGTATCCAACAAGATGCAGTTTAGTGATGAGAAAAGTAAGTTTGTGCACTTAGGCAGGAAAAACCAAATGCACAGAATAGGCAGTACCTGTCCCAACAATAATAACTTACCACGTAAGTATGAGCCAGCTGTGTGCTGCAGCTGCCAGAAAAGTCAATGCGGTCCTAGGCTGCATCAACAGATACAGCATCAGGAACATGAGAAGTGATAGAACCACTCTATACTGCATTAGTAAGACCATACTTGGAATACTGCATCCAGTTCTGGTCACCATGATGCAAAAAAAGATGCCGGGGCCCCAGAAAGAGTGCAGAGAAGAGCAACAAAGATGATCAGGGATCTGGAAGCTAAACCGAAAGATGAACGGCTAAGGCAATTAGATATGTTTAGCCTAACAAAGCATCTGACAAGAAGACAAGAAGCAATGGGTGGAAGTTAGAGATACAGTTTGGAACTAAGGAGAAATTTCCTGACAGTGAGAACAATTAGTTAATGGAACAGCTTGACTTCCGGAGTTGTGGATCCTCCATCTCTGGTGGTTTCAAGAAAGGATTGGACAACCATTTGTCCAGGATGGAATAAAGACTCCTGCCTAGGGCAGGAGGTTGGACTAGAAGACCTCTGAGGTCCCTGCCAGTTCTGTGATTCTACAAAAATCTAATCTAATCTAATCTAATCTAATATCTAATCTAATCTAATCTAATCTAATCTAATCTAATCTAATCTAATCCTTCCATCCAGTATAAAGCTTATCATGTTTAAGTTTATTTGCTTGTTCATATCTTGTGACATAACAGAGGAATTGCATTTTACATGACCCAGACATTGTTTACTTGATGATGAACTATACAGATTTTGGAAGCAAAATGCTGGAGTGAGAAAGAAAAATATCTCCACATCAATCTTTATGACTTTAAGCAAGGCTTCCATCGTTGATACTGCTTTGTACAGATGATATTATATGATAAATAGCGTGGGTTTTGTAAAATTATATAGGGTAACTCGCAGTCAACATTCATTCATGTTATCATAAATACATAACCAAAGATATATTCAGATTGATGGGGAAAGAACCATATATATTTTTTTTGAAAAAAATGGGAAATTGTGTGAAAGCAAAATTTTCTTCTCTATATTTTCCTCAAAGAAAAACCTTTGCAGGAAGGTCTAGGAAAAAAATTGCAGAGAAATGATCATGGAATGGTGGCTTCTGTGTCTGGGAGAATGTAAACATGTCTCACTACAGAGCTATGAAATCTGAAATATGAGAAGCAGATTCAGCAAACGTAGGCTTCCTATGGATGTTTTGTTTCTCAAATGTAGCAGATGTGAGAATCACTTCACAATGCTAAACATATGGTGCAATTTTGTACTGTACAAATTGCTGACCTGGGTTTTGTCTACAGTTAAGTTGGCATGCTTTTAGAGTTAGTCTCAGGATATAGATCTTCCTAAGATACATGTGGCAGTAGTTCAATACAGTACTATATTTTAATAATAGTCCCTTTGAACTATATATGACTTGTGCATATGCCAGCTCTTTCCAAACTAGGGAAAGATGATGAACATACTGTAGCTCATTACGAGAACTTAATTCTGGTTTCAGATTGGCATTACTCTTTTTTCCAGGCCTCTGAGAATTAGCTGAATTGTATAATATTGGACTACCGACAGGAGGGGCCAAGTCCTTTCTTTTAGGAAGTGTTATCTGGTGGGGGTTCAGGAAGAGGGTCTTTCCATCACAGTGCCTGCCCTTTGAAACATCATTCCCCCCCAGAAATTATATTGACTCCAACCCTATTGGCCTTTTGTAAGGCCATAAAGGCATGGGCGTGGAGTGGAGATCAGGACATGTGGCAATGGCTGTGTTGGTTTATCATTAGTACTTTTGTTTTTTTTTTTAACATTGGCTGTTAAGTCTGTTCTTTTTTTTTTATTATTTAACATTTT